GATCCTATATCCTATATCTCAGTAGCATGGAAAATATGTAAAAAAGCAATTTTTCATTATCAGTTTCTTCTTAACTTTGTTGAAATACTAACAGTCAGTGTAGACAGCAAGAAGTAATTTCTGCTTCCGTTGTCGAAGGGCGTTTTCTTTTCATTCTTTTCTTTACTTTTTTTTTATAATTTTTTTACTGATCTTCAAGATATCTCACGTTTTTATAGTCACTGTAAACCAATATGGAAAACTTAAGACAAATGTGATTAATCATTTTGCCTACGGGAACATAATAATGTATGAAGTTATTTAGAAAAATATAGTTATTTGGAATTTAATTTTGTCGATTTTCGTCTTCCGTATTTTTAATTATTTTGTTCTAAATTCTTTGACGTCAGTATTTCATGAAACACTCTGTTGTTACTTTTTTTAAAAAAATATTTATTCCACTAAAGACAGTGAGCTTATTGCTTATGATGTCTGTTATTAGCAAATCTCACATAAAACAATTTTAAAATATACATTTTACCACTCATGTAATAAAATATTTAAAAATGGATGTGGGCTAACTTTCACAAAACTACACAAAAATGAATTTTGTTAAGTGTTAAACTATTATGAATATATGATATCAAACATATACCGACATAAAAAAAAAAACTGTTAGGTTGTATCACATGAAATTTATATAAGAAAACTAATATAAAATAATATTTTACTGATTCTTTTATTAAAATATTTCACATTTCGACATCATGGATATTTCATTATTCCTCATACAAACATACATTCATTATAAATACATTATAGTAAATGATTGTAAACAAAGACCAGTACATCCTTAGGTTTCAAAATACCTTTCGCCACCAGAGCGAACACTCCCTGCCTCCTATCAGAATGGCTGATGCCCACCTCCTCCTTCTTACGGCTGCTTGGTTTCACGCTGTCAGCTGATATTAAGTGGAAAAAAATCATTGAATTAGTAGCTTCGTCTACTGCAAGGGAAGTTTGCTCTCTGTGTCGTGCCAGACTGTTTTTCACGTCTGGGTACACCCTTCAAACCTATAAATCAACCCTCCATCCTCGTATGGAATATTGCTGTCATATATAGTCTGGTGCAACCCACTGTACATCTCGAGCCCCTCGGCAAAATCCAGGGACGAACATCCAATGCGGTAAGTCCTGATCTTGCAGTCGCTTTCTTACTCAGACGTACCGTGGCTTCCATCTGTCTCTTCTACAAGTATTTTCACGGCAACGGTTCCGATGATTTACTTTCGCTGTATCCCAGACTGCATGAATTTTACTAGGCTGGCATCACCGTCCCACCTTCTCAATCGGTTCTTCTTCTCTCATACTCTCCGTATGTTGAACTCCCTTCTTCCTGTTTGATTCCATGATAACTATAATCTTCATATATTCATGTGTAATGTCAATCGACATCTGATAATTGATTTTGGTTTGTATTGTTTGGTTTGGTTTGTTTTACGGCATATCAACCACAATGGGTTATTTAATGCCGACAAAATTACTTTTTTTTTTTTCAAAAATGTATAGCTGGTAATATTTTTTTTTTAAAATGTATAGTTTTTTTTTTTTTTTTTAGTTTTGTTGCATGTTAACCTCAATTGGTTATTTAATGCTGACAAGTTTTTTATTTCTGGTAATATTTTCTTTTTTCAAATATTTATTGCTGATACTAATTTTTTAAAAAGTATTTCTGATATTAAAATCTATTTTTACACTTTCATAGTGTTTTGAGTCAGATTGTGCGGTCAACTATTTGCCCGTAGCTGGGATCCTAAAAGTTGCTACCATCCCGGGTCAGGGTGAACCTGGGAACACCTAAAATGAAGAGATGATTCCACGCTCCTCAAAGCCTCCTGATCAGAGGCCTTGCTGTTGGACGTAGTTTATCGTCTTACCCAGGACGCGGATGCAGTTTATCATCATATCCAGGATGCATAATTGATCTTGTTCCCCGTCTTTCTCTGTATCCTTTCCTCAAACACGCCTCTTTATTCATGATCCCTATTCTCTGTAACACCTTGCGTGCTAGTGACACTCCTGTCTTGCTTGGGGTGAATTGCTTAAAAAAAAACATAATAATATTAATAATGTCATTCAGACATAATGTTAATATACAGTTAATCTTCCCTTGGACTTAAAACATACCGCTACTCTCACATGCATACGAACTTCCTGAAGGAAAATACTAACCTTTGCTACATTATTCTGCATTAATTAAAATTCTAGAATTTAGAAAGTAATAGGACCAAAATTGTAGATGGATTAATTAAAGAAGTCAAATATCGTCCAATTATTTCTCTTAATGTTCAATTGTGGACAGGTTTCGCGAATGTGCCGGCGATGGAAATCTAATTGGCACGTTCCTTCTACGGATGTCAAAAGTGAGCTTGATTTTGTGACATATTACTGTGTTATTTGATGCATGTTTACAAATCCCACAACTTTGTCCGTATATGAAGACAGATCCCAGCATGCAAGACGCATGTTTAGGGGGGGGGGAATCGAGCCCAAACAATATTACACGGACGAGCACGGCAAAAATCAGACATTGACTAGAGCGATTAATGTCTTGGCCTTGAAATTAGCTGAAGTGTATTGATTAAATGAGGGCTCATTATAATATAAGCGCACAGCATGCTACTAAGCATTTACTTGTAGATAGCTATGTAAAATGAATCTAAATATTTTAAATAGAATTCGATCAAAGCTCTTCTCTGGTATTTCATCGCCCTGCCGAAAATAGTTTTATAATGAGAAGAAAATGCATCAATCTGCTTTCAATAAAGTACGAAAACACAAATATCTTGGAAGTCAATGAAGTATGGAAGCACAAATATCTTGGAAGTCAATGAAGTATGGAAACACAAATGTCTTGGAAGTCAATAAAGTATGGAAGCACAAATATGTTAGAAGTCAATGAAGTATGGAAACACAAATATGTTGGATGTCAATGAAGTATGGAAGCACAAATATCTTGGAAGTCAATGAAGCACGGAAACACAAATATCTTGGTTGTCAATGAAGTAAGGAAACACAAATCTCTTGGAAGTCAAAGAAGTATGGAAACACAAATATCTTGGAAGTCAATGAAGTAAGGAAACACAAACACCTTGAAAGTCAATGAAGTACCGAAACACAAATCTCTTGGAAATTAATGAAGTAAGGAAACACAAATATGTTGGATGTCACTGAAGTATGGAAGCACAAATATCTTGGAAGTCTCTGAAGAGATGACAGAAAACGAGACACCGAAATACGAAGATGTATTTGAATAAATAATACTTTTTTTCCAAAAGATAAAGGAAGTATTAAGATTTCGTTAGAAAACCGTAAGTGAATATGGATGAATGTTGGACTATCTCCTCTCAGATTTTTAAAACCAATTTCTCGCCAAGCAAGTGGGTAATGCCACTAGAATGTAGTGGGGTTGCAAAAAGTGATCATGATATAAGATGAGATGATTGAGTATAGGTAGGATTGAGTAAAGGCCCCCAAAAATGGAACATGGTTTTAAAGACAGGAGATGGAGATTGACGTCGCATTTAAAAACTTGAAGATTGTAGTTACCAGGTAAGCAAGAAATGGGAAGGTTTTTCCACAGGTTGGAAATGCGATAAATAACTGTTAGAGTAAAAGTGAATGTTGCATCTAGCTGTTTGAATAGTAAAACCGTGGGAACTACTTGTCAATGTACTAGCACGCTTACATTCACGGTAACGGGTAACAGGAACAGAAGTTCATCAGAGCAGTTGCTATGAAAATATTTGTAGAAAAGCAGAGGGAAGTGGCGTCTCGTCGGTAAGAGATGAAGAAAAGCCGGGAGACAACAGAGTCCTGATTCACTAGAAGATGAGAATAACATGTACGGAAAATATGAGTAATAGGGATGTTTTAAGAAAATAAAAAAAAATGACCCATACTTAGAACCAAAAAGAGAAAGTTGATATTTTGGGACACATAATTGAGAAAGAAGTCATAGAAAAAATTGCTCACATGATTTACTGAAAGCAATAGCGTCAGAGAGAAACAAGGAGTAACATAACTAAGGAACTTTTGTAAATTTATAGAACGTGTGATGAGAAGAATAGTCAAGCGACAAAAATTGTTTAGAGTAACAGAAATCCAGATGTTGTGCATAGCCATAGTCTTCTACGTCCCGGAAAAAAATATGTCACATATAAGAAAAACCTTTTTTTCTGTCTAGACTATTTTAAGTAAGAAACGGTCAACTTATTTTCCATTTCCAATCGACATGAGATGGAATCGCGTAAACAGAGTTGTTTCAATAAAAGAAAAGTTTATTGCTGTTCTCTTTGCATAAGATCACTCAGTGTACATACAAATGATTATATTTGCTATGATAAAATATGGTATTACCACACAACATAAATGAGAAATATCCGTTTGTTTTTTGTTGCTTATTGACCATGACATAATTATTGAGTCCATTTGCAGTTGTAACAACAGACCACGAAAATCGAAATGAAGGAAAATTATTTAAGTAGAAATCATTTAACGATTAACATCGTTTACAAAATAATGAAAAGGACACGAAGATCATTTTCTATTTCTAGAATATGAAAAAAAAAAAAAAACATATACAGCTTCTTATGTGTTGACTTGATTAAAAGCACAATCTGTAATTGTTTCTGTGGCGAAATATTGTTAAATATCTCCTAAATATAAAAGTGACGTCTTAGGCATTGCTCCGTTTAGAACAGCTCAACAACCAAAACATTTTCTAGTTTCTAATCAATTAAATTTAGTGAATACGATATGAATATAAAAAAAAAAATATCTCTTCTCAGGTACACGCATAATATTCTAAGCAGTTGACTGCTTAATTTAAATGAACACTTAAACTTGTTCGGATTACACATTCATTCTATTCATTGGGAATTTCTTAAAAGGTTGAAAGGAATTGGTTGCTAAATAAAAGAAAAGCATTGTCTTAATCTATTTGTCCTTCTTTCATTCAATTATTGGATGTTTGTTTTAAATATGAAGAAAAGCTGAATTATAGATATTCCATGAGTAATGGCTGCTAAATCCGGTTTCTTAAATACAATTAGTACAAATCATTTATAGAAAAGCAAACCTCGAAAACTTGATTTGCACACGATTATTGGTAGGATTAAAGTATTAATCCAATGTCTGCAGATACGAGTAGGTAAGTAAAAGATAAAACTAGAAGAAAGTTTTTTCTTGGTCTTGCCAGTTTGAAACAAATCCTTTCACATAATTCTACAGATAAATTTTACGTCACAATATATGTGATAAAAAAAAACGTTTCTTCTTTTTAAATAACGATGTCTAAACTTGAAAGCATTTCATGCGTCCTTATTTTATACTGTCTTCTCTACTAAAACATTTCTAATTCTCGGTAAATAATTAAAAAACAATCAGAATGCGTTAGCGATGAAGTAGGAAATTAAAGTCTGGTAACATCATCCAGCCACTTAGAGAAGTATTTTTTTTTTCAAATGTATTCGAAGGAATTCAATTGAAAAATCGAAAGAGAGTTTGCAAAGGAAATTATTACATGAGGTGATTTAAGAAAATATCTGCGCTTATATTATACATGCAAATTGAAAGGAAAATCATAGTTTGAGAATGTCAAAAAGACACACACACACACACACACACATACACACACACATATATATATATATATATATATATATATATATATATATATATATATATATATATATATATGTGTGTGTGTGTGTGTGTGTGTGTGTTCAGTGAGGACAGATAGAGAGAGACAGGCAGACAGAGACAGTGACGCTGAACGGATAGATAGATAGATAGATAGATAGATAGATAGATAGATAGATAGGAATAACAAATCTGATAGGTTGAGTGACAGAGAGAGAAACAGACAGAAATGCGTGAATATAGTGAGATATATAGATTGGTATGAATAAACTGAGAGGGATATGAAGAAACTGCTATAGATAGATAGATAGATAGATAGATCTGTACTATGATAGATCTGTATTTGGATACATATATAGATGCCGTAGCCAGCACTGCTGCTTGTGCTTTTCTCGCTGATTAAGGCGCTTTATGCTCGAGTAATAACTGTAGCTTATGACTTTCTCTCATTTTCGTGTCCAATATGTATCATTAGACTTTCTGGTGTTCCCTGTCGATGATCTCAACATGATCCCACAGGGGGACGGTGATCTCCCTTCTCTCTCCATATGTGGTCAGCCACGCCTGATTTTTCTACTGAGACTTTTTTGGAGAAAAATCATAGTTTTGATACAAGTATTTTAAAAAGTTCCTGTTTCTATGTTTGGTACACCTTAGGCAAATTTGATTAAGGCTAAATCTTATCTCCGTCCCAAAACTTACATTAGTAAAGCAAATTAAACCAAATTGTGTAATGAATTTATTTATAAAATGACGCAAATTGTTTTACAACATAAGCCATAATATCTAATTCGTATAACACTTTTTAGATATATGTTAAGCGTCTCTCTCTGCTTTCTTGCTCTCACGTTTTCCAGTGACTTGAGGTGGAAATACTATATTGAATAAATAACTACATATTCGCAATGAAAGTTGGTCCTCTGTGTCACGCCAGAAGGTTTCTCTCGTCTAATCCATCCTTCAAATCTACAAATCTACCATTCGTCCTTGCATTGAATACTGTTGTCATATATGGTATGTTGCTCCCCCCCCGCTGTTCATATCGAGGTTCTCGACAAAATCCAAAGGCGTATATGCAATGTGATTGGTTCTAAACTGTTATCTTGACTCCGCTCACTTTCTCACAGACGTGATGTGGCTTTCCTCTGTTTTTTTTTCTACAAATATTTTCATGGCAACTGCTCTGACCCGTTACTTTGACTGTTGCCCTAACTGCATAAATTTAAGCGCGTGGGTTTGCATATTAGTCCCACCCGTTTATTGTCGAAACAGGTAAAAGTAATCCCATCTTCTACTCCAACAGCTTTTTTCTCTTGCACTTCCTGACAGTGGAACTCTCTTACACCCACTTGCTTCCCTGTTAACTATAATCATCTAAAATTTAAACGTACTGCCAATCGACATGTCCTGATGCCTTGATCTTGATCCCCATCCTTCTCTTTAACTTTTCCTCAAACACACCTTATTCTTTTATACTTTGTGACCCCTTGCCTGCTACTGGCACCCACGCCTTGTTTGCAGTGAAATGAAAAGAAAAGCATGTATATTATTTTTTTGAATTCGGGTATTTAAACCTGACACATATAAGCAATGAATTTGTCCATTATTTTGTTTTAATTCATCACGTTTTTATATCGGTCTTAGAAGAAGTTAGTAGTACGTTAACAGAAGAAAATATCACTATGCTTACATTTTTCAAAATGGAAGATAGATGTATCTTGACTTCTAGATTTGTTCTGTTTAGAAGTGGTTATAAAATAAATAATCTAAAAAGATGTTAATTTATTTAGAAGAGTCTATAATTTGACACCCTGCAAAATTAGTCTGGATCGTGTTTCTTGCAGCATTGGTAGTGGCTTTTTTCCTGTATCTGATAATTCACATTACTATAAATTACTCAAGCGGAGCTGGTAAAAAAATATAAATTTATTTAATAATATCTGATATTCCTTCGTAATATCAATAATTTGGAAAAATATACTCGATTACCTAAGCACATATCGGACAAAGATAGAGGTATTTTATGAACAATCTGTTATGCTTTGGTATATTATTGACTCTATAAAAAATTCTAGGAAATATTTTGTAGTTTGACAATAGTAATCTTACTTTACTTGCCATTCAAGTGATTTATTCTATGTAACGATTACGTCTCACACAATAGCAGCATTGCAAATATTAACGTAGGCTATACAATAGTTTTATTCCTAGTGGAATCAATTAATTTATATTGATTTCCCAGAAGATCTAGATAGGTTAAGTTCGTAGACCATAGAATAAAATTAACGATTAACGAACGGCTTTCATAAATATAATTTGATAAAAAATATGGGAAATTTTGCAACCAAAACATCCATAAAATTGTCGCCCTATACATCACATGATTTAATTTCAGGCAATCATGAAAATATCGTGCAATCTCAGAGATGGACACTTTAAGATCGCGTGTTAAGATTCCATAAATAAATTTGTAACTTCTATTTTTCCAAAATAAAATTTGATTTGGATTTGGAGACAAAATCTGTTTAAATTACTTGAAATCATAATTGTAAAATCAAGAAATACAAACATTTTGATGGTATCTGAAAGTTTTTAGTCTAAATAATGGAAGAGAATATCATATACAGTGCGTCAATAATGTCTGGATGCATAAGAAAAATTGTATATTTCCAAGAAATTAAATTTTCAACACGATTTTATTGAATTGGAATATTAACAAATAACATCTTCAATATGATGTCTCTTATTTGTGATGTAAAAGTTGATGCGCTTTGCAAGATTCACGTGAACTCGATGTAAACAATTCCACATCGCCGTTAATTTTAGCACATTCACTCTTTATACGTTTAATCAAGTCTGTTGCATCTGTTATTTTCACTGAGTACACATTCTCTTTTAGCATAACCCAGAAAAAAAAATGTCACATCTTTCGATAAAACCATATTTAATCTGAGGAGGTAAAAAAAAAACTGTAGTTAATAAGATTTCCTATGTGTCTAGACTTTAGGGACACCAGTTATAAAATCTTTACATCTTATATCAGGCTGAATGCCGCAATGGAAAATGTTATTCTTTTATGCATTTCAAAGTGTGATACGAACTAAATATAGATTTTTATATAAGAAATAACATATAGGTCGGAGTGGGTCGGCGAAATTACAAGCGTCGGTTATAATTACAAATCGAGAGAAACGACGGGCACTGAATTTTATAATTCAGTTTTAAATTCATGTTTTTTTAAGCGTCCATATGCACAACCTAACCGAACTCATTCTGCTGGTTACGGTTTTGTTTTTTCCTCTCTGTTGTTTCGTAAAAAGAAAATAATATATTGTATTAGTCGTCGTGATAAAGAAATGGGATATGCTATATGAACATGGATTTAAAGTCTTAGAAATAAGTATCTATTTGTACTTTAATGAATTAGAATCATTTTAATTAAAATATTTTTAGACCGAAGTATTCCTTTCGAGTGACGACACGCATAATCTTACTTATTATAAAACGCAGAATGTGTGTGTGTGTGTGTGTGTCTGTACGTTTATATATTGGATCGGATTTCCTACAGTTTTCAACTGATTTCAACAAGACTTCACAGGACTACATAAAATTACATTGCGGTAGCTCTGACAGCGCCAAAAATTGGAAAAAAAAATGTTTTTGTACGAAATTTGAAAACACGATAAAACACGATTCTGTTGCCAGAATGAAATGGGGACAACTCATATCGAGTTATACTTATAAAACCCAGGTTGTTTGTGTGTGTTCGTTTATATATGGAATCGGATTTCCTACATTTTTCAACCAATTTCCATAAAACTTCACTTTTTTTTGGCAGGTAGTGTTTCTTATTGTCTTGCACGCTTTTTTCTTTATTTTTACATTCAGAATGCTTTAAAAATTCCATTTACAAGACAATTGTTTATAATAAAATTCTATTCAATCGGTAAACTCTTAACGATTGAAAACAATGTTTTTGTTTGAGTTTGGGTTTGACCAATTCGTAAAAAAAAAAACACAAAAAAACAAAACAATAAACTAATTAAGACATGCGTGTCCGTCAACCTTAAACAATAATCTTTGTCAATTTTTTTCTTCAGTCTTTATGATGATCGATACTTGATCTATCTCTTACTGTTACAACCCCGGGCAACGCCGGGTTCTACTGCTAGTACAGGATATTTCCATTTCAATTAACAGCATGCTTCCAAACACATATACATATATAGGATACGTTTGAAATTTCACGGCCGTTTTACACTGTCATCTATGTGGAGCTAGTGAGCATCGGCAAGTTATAATCATAGCTTGGGCAGGTTCACACCATGTGTTTTCTGCTGAAACATTTTTAAGACTGGTGAATCTGTAATTGCAACACAGCGAGATTTTTGTGCCCATATCATATTACGTCGGAAGACACACACACACACACACACACACACACACACATATATATATAGAGAGAGAGAGAGAGTGCGTGTGTGCATGTGTGTGTGTGTGCATTCGTAGATGAATAACAACTTGTATTCAGCCATTAATGGAGTTTTTTAATGGGCAATGTTTTCTCAAAACATCCCCTAACATATTGTGGCATATCTATACCAATCATCTTCGATGATGCAGAAAGCCATCTAAGCTGTATTTTCAGTCACGAAATGCCGAATGCTAACTGAAAATGTAAAATAAAACCTCTTACTAAAAAGATAATTTTGATTAAGTTGGAAATGCCCAATAATTATATGACTTTGCTGTAACGGTCTTCCATATTGGATCTCCTTATACACGTCTCAATATAGTAGGCACCCGATCGCATATGAGCATCGAGATCGTCATCCTCTCTCCCTATTCACAAACTCTCCTATAACAGCACGTCTAGGCCCTCTTCGTGTTGACAGCTGGACAGGAAAGATTTTCTCCTACCTAGGATGGGCCTAGGTCAGGAGGGTTGATTTTCAGTAACAGTTTCCCGGGTCTCAGGATCGATGGATGTTTTCGACTGATCCTTGAAGCGTCGTTTTGCGTCTTCACGTAATTTCTTGCCCATGGCATGTTCTCCAAACAGGATAATAGGGAGTCGATTGGGACGCATTCTTAACCCGGCATCCGCCCAACGGAGGTGATAAAGAATGGTAGCCTCGATGCTGGGAAAAGATGTCTAGTGATGAGTTCCTCGTAACTGGTGCGAAGAATTCTTCGGAACTTCGATTGCTGGAACCGGTCTAGACGTTTAATATCCTGACGATAAAAATTCCATGCTACGCAAGTGTACAGAAAGGTTGAGAGGACCACGGATCGGAAGACTATAATTTTGTTTTTTTTTATGATGAATGAAGCCGTGATTGCTGAAGTCCCGATATATGAGCGTTCCGTTCGCAGTATGAACCGCTTTAATCCTGTTGTCAAGTTTTCTCTCGCAGTCGAACTTATTAGAGATGCTACTGCCAAGATAGGGAAATTTTCGACGACTTCTATCGGCTGTCCGTCGATATGATGCTGGTGTCTATTGTTGCTTGTCTGGTGACCGGTTGGATGAGGACATTTGTCTTTGAAATTGACCTGCATCCTGAATTAATTGTAGGCCTCGTTGTACAGGTTTTCATATCTCTGAAGGTTCGCAGTTGCATTGTCGTCACTATACTGAACTTCTCGCACGCGGGTGGTGGTACTTTTTGAGCGAGAACGAATTTGGGCGAAGATAAATAGTCCGACGTCGAATCTGTTTCGGATGCCAATGCTAGCGTTGGTGGGAACTCGATGACTATGGCAGCGAGGTACAGTGAGAAAAGTGACGAATGTCACCATTGATTGGAAACGGATCCGATTCGAAACCTCAATGATTCACCCGGTCCTCCATTCCATCATATATCATAAGAATCAGAGACACGAAGCGATCTGGACAGCCAAAGCATGCAAGAGTGTCTCATATTGCTGGATTTGGGACTTTTGTGGAAGGTCCTATGGATATCCCAGAAGATGAATATCAGTGGTTTTGCTGCTCACTGTTTTTCTGTTGCACATAAAAGACTATGTCGAGACTGCCTCTCAAAGGCTGGAAACCACATTGGGATTCTGGAAGGAGCTTTTCTGTCAGGGACATGAGACGATTTAATATAAATCGCAAAAAGATCTTGCCAGCGTTGTTTAGGAGGGCGTTGCCACCATAGCTTCCGCAAATTGAGCGGTCTCCTCTTTCGAAGATCCTCAAAATTTTGGCATATTTACAGTCTTTAGGGATTGTCTTATCTTCTCGGTTTTTAGAAATCAGAAGCATTAGCCTGTCCTTCAGACGTAGACAACGCGGAAAAAATATTTCAGAGCATATTGTCGTGTCCGACAGTTTTTTGTGTTTCATGAAGGGAAGGGCTTCTTTCAATTCACAGAAGGTTGGGGGAAGAAATTGTGAAGGTATTTCGCAGATCTTCTAGCGTGGTGACATGGTCGTTGAGAAAGTTCTGGAAGTGTTTTTCAAACGGTCCACGATGGATTCAGGATAGGTAAGAATGGTACTTCCGTCCGAATCCTTAAGACCTCTTACCTTTGATTTGATGGAGCCAAAGTTTTCCTTCGTGGACACATAAAAGTAACGCATGCACCGTTGGTCTGCAAATCGCTGGATTTCTGCTGCCTTTGCCTACCACCAGGTATTCTGGATTTCAAAGAGTCATCGTTAGAAACTTTTTGTTGCTTCCTGATAGATTTTTTTTCAACCGAGAGGATCCCCTCAAAAGCTAAGCATGCTTCTCGTTTTTCATTAATCATCTGATCAATTTCTTCCTGATGCTCGCTGAACCAGTCCTGATATTTCCTTTTCTGAAACCCAATGTCTTGTTCAGCTGCTGATATTGTATTGCGCTGGGATGTCCATTTTTCGCTGATAATCTCCGTGTTCGATGAGTCATTGATGTACTTTTCAACGGATAGTTCTAAGTGCTCCGATATTTGGGCGCCATGAAGCATAGTATAGTCAAAACGTCGGTGAAATCTCCCTGCATGCAGCCACCTAGGTGGTCAACGAATGGATATCTTGAGGTGTCAGAACAGAAGACGGTGGTCTGTTAAGCAGTTATCCGCTCCAAGCATGGAATGGGTGATGTGGATATACTTTTTGTATCGGGGTCGAATAAGAACATAATCTAAGATGTTCCCGTTATTTGATGTTGGGTGCTACCATTTTACCGCCATTTCGGGAGTCGGAACAGGGTATTGGTCACAGTCAGCTTCTGTTCTGCACAGATACCGAGAAGCAGATATCCGTTTGCGTTACAGTTACCAATGGCGAACGAGAATGCCCTTCCATGTACGGTGATCACGGTCAAATTTGGCGTTGAAGTAAATAAAAAACAAAACATGAGTTTATTTGATACCGGGGTGATTCAGATTATTGAGTCCACAACGTTGTGGCAGGACACTTCGATGGCGTGGTTAGAGACAAATATCGGTGCATAGACAGAGATAAGACCACAGAAAGTACGATGCTTAATTGTTCTTTTTTAGGCTGTCATTATATATCGGAAATAGTACTGTTTTAATAAATTTTGTAAAGTATATATTTGTCTTACATTTAACACACGCAAGCGCACGAACACGCACACACACACGTATGTATTTATGTATGTATGTATCTCCGACCAAAGCTATTACTCCCTCATCTGAAGTTTCAACAAAATGCCTTCTTTAAGAACATACCGTAAATTGGTTTATTTATTTGCGGATAAGCACATAAAATAAGCGTTTATGTTGTGCAAACCGATATCACAAAAACCAATTTGTTGCGTACAAAAATAAAGCTGAAACTACATTCGAATCTTGTTTTACACAATTTAGTAGCAAATAAAAGAAATCGAAATTGGTTCTGTCATGTGTAGATTCTAACCCCATTCCGTTTTAAAAGAAGCTCTGATCACATGCAAAAAGCACTGCAATAACGTTTCAAACGATGACGAACACGCGGAACCCATAATGAAATTTACTATTTTTGTTATCTTTCCTTAGATACTGAAAATAATTTGAGCCTTTTACGAGATAAAAACTTAAATGTACGTTAAATAACATACGTAATTAAGAAAATTAAAACTAAGAAAACCACTCCGTGATTATTTGTATACAACATAAAAAATCTGTTTTGACACATATAGGTATATTCTGACACAGACATCACCAACTACAATTACTGATATAAATCTATGACATAGTAAATATATCCATATCAGTATGTGTACGCGTTACCGAACAGATAATATATATGTTAACCACGTAGACTCCGATGGGACTATAGGGTCACAGACTCACCACGATAGGTGTTGTTGGGGCGATTTCTCTATTATTTATTTTTACTGTATCCACACAAATGGTTTAACATTCAGAATTGTCCTTTTTCTAGACTGGTTACCAAACAAGGCTGAATCACTCGAGTGTAAAATCTGTTCTGCTATTACCTCACAAATCGTGGAAGAAGAGAGAAACAATATTCTCTATAGCTTATAGAATTTTAGAACATTACAGTTTTATATAAAATATATTTTTTATGAATCTGATTTAATATTTCACCAATAACTAGTTTTCCAAATTTAGCTTTGCATTGAATAATTGATTTACTCAATCAAATAATAAAATAATTATTCAGTTTCTCTTTGTATGTTTCTTCTTCAAATACCGGTTGTTTGATTGATTGTTTTTTTTTTTTTTTTTTTACAGCTTACCAACATATTGCAAGTTATTTAAACCCAGGAAATATCTTTAGATTGTAAGATTTTTTTTTTGGGGGGACGGATAATGATGATTTCTTAAGGCTAGTTTCAATAATAGTTTAATGGTACAAGATTTAATAATTAACCCATATTTGTGTAGAGATGACGCGGATACATGTTATTTTTCTTGCACACCAGTGAATATATTATAACGATTAGTTATAACGCACCCAACGGAAAGAGGAATTGACCTTTCCGATTAACAATTCATCGCCATTATCCATTACAACACTTGCCCATCCAAATTTACAACAACTGGTATTCCCAAGCGTTCTCTCTTCGAGACACTGACAAGGCTAAACATTGCTTACCTTCGGTGACCGTACCAGAACCGATGTTATGAATGTGATGTAGCTATAAGCCTTCAAATATCGAGACATCTGAACATATTTCCGGAAACTAACTTAGCATTGGGCTTCATTTCTTCTACTTGAGAAGACTTGCTAACACCCAAGATTACATACAAACTTTAGTTATTCACCTCTGTCTTAAATGGAAGATTAAAGTTGCAAATAATCCTTATCGTATATTGTTTAAACCTAAAACCTAATATCGTTGCAGAAACCCCGCCGAACGATGGATGATTAATAGCATAATACAGTGATTGAGAGAAAAGCATTATATTCTTTTTTGTTCTGAAGTACAAACCGATTAATCCCACCTGGGATTAATTAACAAAGAAATATTCGCAGTAAGGTCAAATCAAAGTTGATCCTATTTTTGTTTCTTTATAGACATTTAAAAGCATTGATCAGAGAGAACTCGTGACCTCAGAGTAAACTCTAAGTGACATTTTTACTCTGATACATCAAAAAGGTTAAGGAAGAGCACACAGTGCAATGGCAGAGGCAAATGAAAGAAAAAAAACTGAGCATTTCATTACAATGCAGTCGCCCACACATCAACTGTGTTGTTCGTATATTCTAATCACCAAAAATATGAGAACATTTCTATCAGCATTTCTCTAATTCGTGAAGCGTATCTGTTATCAGCGCGGAAAGTATATTCGGCGTGCTAAGTTAATTCTCCGGTCATAGACATGGCGTTCTCTTTCGCAAAATTTAATCCATATTTACTCTCAAAATCAATGGGTCAGTAGTAAAGTAAACTCATCTCTCTAGATTTGATTGGACACCAGATTACGAGAAAGACAACTGTGAATTTAAAACTTGTTAGTCATTTGACAACACATTCCTATAAGAAATACATACTTCTCCCGGAAACTACAACAGCAAACTCTAGTTTCCTAAGTCTGCGGCTCTTTTCGCTGTTAAAGAAGAAATCTCTGTTTTTTTCAGCGGGAGGAAATTCAATTTGAAAATATGTAGAATTGACACGGTCGAAAAAAAGCATAAAATATCATAAGAGGGCCTCTGCCATTAATTCTTGGTTTACGGTCACATAACGTTGAAACACGGCTTTATGGACGATCACCGAAGTTAAGGCAGTCAGTTAGTCGTCCTTGTCTTGACCGGCTGTTCGGTTGAACTCTCTGCCTTCGGGCGAAGAGGAACCCGAAGCCGAAGGGCGGATTCTCTTCCGGGGAGGTAAACCGACCTTGAACCCGTTTATACGGGTTCAATAGGCATATTTGTGGTTGAGCCCACGGGCTCGGAGATCCCAGATTAAACCGGCCTTGTGCCACATGACGCCCTCATGGAGGGGGTAACTGAATGTCGTAAGCAAGGTAGAGACTGCTTAGTAAATCGATGTGTGATCGCTTATATATAGCAGGTGCTGTAAGCTTGGATGTGCGCGTGATGCTATGGATAGTGGCTCCGAATTGTTAATCTGAGAGCCGAGTTCCAATGACCGTTGTGTCGATTATATGCACTTACACGCACATACCCAGGTGAATGGTTATGACACCAGTGCTACTCCCCCAGCTGTGGGTTAATTAGTAAATCTTGTATCACTAAACCATTATTATTTCTAAAAAATATTCTCAAAATCTAAAATTATTTTCTGGTTTCAAATAACATTTAAAGAGTCGATAACCGGTAGAAAATGATTGAATTAATTAACATTGACATTCTTGATGCCATCAAGGAATTG